AATTATGTAGAAGGGTGAGGAAGGCTGTGGTCTTCTCTCAGCCTTACTTCCTGAGTCACTTGGGAGAGCACAAAGCGATTTGAGTCACATATCAGCCAGTGCTGTACCCAGACTGTAATTTAGAAAGCACCAGCCCATCTTTAACACTGATAACTTATGTTTCTGGAAAGTATTAGGAAGATAAAAAGGTCATGGGTTTAGTACTGTGATCACTGCTTCAAAATTGTGGTGGTTTGAAGTTTTGCAGGTAGAAAATGTTTGGTTTGCTTAGAGGTAAGTATTTTAAGTACAGCTTGGTATTTGCGATCAGTTGACACTGCTACCTGGGTTGAGGGTTAATTAAAATGTTTCCTTTATTCCCGGTTATTTGCTTTAATGCTGACTCCTGAACCTTTTACTGCACCAATAGCTACCCTAAGAACTCCTACAGTAGAGAGGCTTTATCTGATATTTCTGCAGATGTTTAGACTTGCTTTCTTCTGTTTGCCAAATGTTTGTCAGATGAATAGGAAGAGAGGGAATGGTGAGAGGATGTTATTTACTTGTATTGATTAGGGTGAGAATATTGTAAGGTGTATTTAAAGTAATTGTAAAGTGTTGGCTTCATGTATGTTTGTGTTGTATTGCTGTATTTGCAGCAGTATTTTCTGCATGGTCTAGCCAGTCGGAGATAAGCCAGATGTCACATGCTGTATGGCAGAATATATTTACACAAATAATAGCCTTTTCAAACAACTTCTCTATTAGTTTTGAGCCCTATAGAAATGTAACAACTTCCCAGAAAAAGTTTTGCCTGTGATGTGAATTCTAATCATGTGAGGAGAGGCCAAGTGAAGAGCTGTGTCTCTACCTTCTTTTGCTATTGAGATGTATGTGAAGGTAGTCTTTCCTGAATCACTGAAGTGCTAAGGTTTGGACAACCGGCCCAAGCCAGAGTTGACCTGTAGATGAATCCTGTATATTTTATAACTGAAACCATTGTGCCAGTAGGTATTGTACTAAATTATAACAATGCACTTATGCTGATGTAAAAAGTGCTAAAGCTTTGAAGTACTGAAGCCTGAACAACAGGCCCCAAGCCGAAGCTGCTAACTTAGTCTGTAATCATTAACAAAGTGTGTAAGGTCGCTAGTGAAAGATGCAGTTTAGACAAAATATCATCCAGTAGTGAGGAAAGAATGTATCCAACTTGTTTAGCCTTGTTCAAGGCTGAGAACCCAAGTGTCTGGCCTTGTTAGAACTCCCCTGGTCTCTTCCCCTGAGCCCTGGCCAGGCTTTGGGTGGAATCTAACAGGAGAATGAAACCAGAAATTTTCTGCTCAAAACAAAGGTGACAGCTATTCTGGCTTGTCGATCTCTGGTATATAAGGCTGGGCCCGCTCACAGGGACTTTGGGTGCCTCACCTACGGATGCACGCACCGTGTAGGATTTCCCACTGTCCGGGACAGGCTCTGCAAACCCTCCCTGCAGCCAGGGCTGCCCAGCGACTGCGGGGCTGGATGATGGTAACAGATGCAAGTGGTGATGTATTTTTCTTAATCTCTATTCTCTCTCTCGTGTAGTAATGATTTAAGGCATTACCGTGTATTTTCCTGTTTGCTGCTTTAAGTGCACTATTCTGCTTTTTCTTACTGCATGTTTTCTATACTACCCTGTTACATTGGTTATCACTAGTAAAATATGCCTGCTCTTTTCACTCTGGTATCTGAGTTTAATTGGTATCCTTAATCCGCAGAACAATCACTTGTACCTTTTTGTTTGTCATAATGCAGATTTGTGTTTACAGGGACATGTTTACATTTCAGATTTTGATACCAGCTCTAGAAAGTGCACCAGAAAGGAGGAACATTGCTTTTAACCCCTCTGCAGATTGATCTGGCTCTTATGCTTTAGCATTTGCAGCTTGGTCTTGCTTTATATGCTAGACAAGGTTTATGCCAGCCTAATTGGTTGCTGGCATTCCTGAGTTGCACAGCTGCTGTATTCAGCTGTGTACTAGAAAAATATAATGGAATACTGTTTGTGGAGAGCAAGAGGCAATTGTAAAGATGTAAATGTGCTTTCTGGCACTTCAATAACATGTAAACTTTTAGTAACACAAAGAATTTTTAGGATCAAATTGTGTGGGTACACTGCCAGTTTAAACATTATAGTATACATTTTATATTTAAGTTGAGAATATTTGGAAGATGCATATAAGTGGGTTTTTTTCAGGGTTTTTTTTTGTTTGTTTGTTTTTTTTTTTATTCAGCCTTGACTTTCTTGGCCAGGGAATGGATGAAATCTGGCAGAGAGATGGAACATTTATTGTGATTCTTTTGTTATGGCATGCTGGCTTACTCTATTTGTGAGAGTGTTCAGTATTTTCTATTCATTCACCAACCTGCTTTGATCTCCTTTCAGTTGTTATGGCAAAGATTAAAACTTTAAAAGTTATTATTCATTCTCTGTCAAAAGTAATAGAACATGGGAGCAGGTAATAGGACTTGCATGATGGTTCTGTGACTAATGCAGTGTCACAGGTTTCAGCTGTGAATAGTGCTGCTCTTAAAAATGTATAAAATTTGGTAACATACTAAACATTATTATAGTATTGTATAAAATATGTTTCACTAAACTTAGGTTTTTCGTGTATCATTTTTCTCTTGGTTGTGGACTGACAGCTGGGCCAAGACTTAAAGCAGTAGCAGAAGATTAGACCAATGTAAGCTTGAGGAGTCTTCCAGTTCTCACAGTTTTTGTGTCCTTGTGGTCCCAGCATGCTCTCTGTAGAAGTGGCAGGAGTGGCACTGCTAAAGGAAGACAGTGGCTTCTGTTGCTAATTTGCTGATGGACCAGATAGCTCATTGAAATAGTTTTACCACAGGGTGTTCTTGCACAAAATTAAGTCCCTAGAGGTTATTAAATGCAGAGAAATTTGTGAAGGCGTGTACTGAGGACCTTGTGAAAACAAACCCTTGCACAAAAACACTTGTCCAAGGAAATAGGTGTAAGAACATTATGCTCTGAGTCTGCTTCAGCCCCATCACCAGCAGAATTAGGGCAAGGTCCTGAGGGCAGGACACATACCTGCTCAGTGTCCTTTGGCTGAGGGGAAGGGGCACAGCAGTGGTCCCTGCTAGTGCGTCTCCTGGCAGTGCCTCTCTGGGGAATGCAGGCCAGACAGTCTCTGCAGAGCACACAGCTGGGGTGCCCAGGAGAATGGTGCTCAGGAGGCACAAATGGAAGGGCTTGTTCAAGACAAAACACAAGTCAGGGAAATAAAAACTAGTGAATGCTAGAGGAAAGGAACCAAGTGAAGTGAAGGGAGAGGGTTGTGTTGTTTTGGTTTTTTTTAAACAAAAAATACCAAATCTACTTGACCTGTAGTGGTGGAGTGAATCTTAGGCTTTGGGCAAGGACAAGCACAGAGGTTATAAATGTGCATATGTAATGTGTGTTGCCATTGCTGCAGATATGAAAACACTGGTGCCCAGGGATGCAGGCTGCTTTGTGTGCGCACCAAGCTGTATGCTTTGCCTGAATTTCAGGTAGTCTCTTCCTCTGCACATTATACTAAAGTACACAGATTTGGTGTTACCTTCCATGATGGTTCCCTGTAGTCTCTCTTCTTGTTTAATTTCAACTAGGTGTAAACATTTAGGCAGCCTTTGCAATTAACAGTACGCATTATTTACTTGGCACTGTTACTTGCACAGTGTACTTTGTTACTTGCACTGTTAATTGAGTTAATTTATGATATCAGTCAAGGTTTTTCTTCTTTTCTGTCCCTAGGAGGCTTAGAATGTATAGAAACAGTAACTTTGGAAAACTGTCTAATTAAGACTGAAATGTCTAAAACAAGTCTGAAACAATCAACAGAGAGGAAAAACTGAGTGGATTTGGGGCTGGGAGCTTTAGGAAAGGAGAAGGGAAGGTGCAAGGTGGAGGAGACCCAGACCAGAGCAGATGCATAAGGACCATGTGGTGTTTTGATCCAGGTGGGTGCCAGGCAGCAGCAGCAGCAGCACATGCACGGGCTGCTCATGGTTGCTCCTGCCCTGGGAGCTGCGCGTGGCCCTTGGGCACATGGTGGGTGGCTCAGAGCACGTGGAGCAAGAGATTGCTTGTTAGTGCTATGGCTTGTTAAAGGAGGGTGTTAGAGGAGCAATTGCGTTGGACTCATGTCTTCTTGGTACTCTTAGGCCAAAAGACTGACGTGAAATCAATGTGACACCTGGGTTTTGATCCATTTGTGTTGGTGCGTGGCTGCTCTGCTCTTCCAATTGCTCCTTGCTACTGTGCATTGGAAATAGGACATAAAAAACCTGTGGTATGCTACATGTTTAAGAAGAAAAATCCTTATTCATACTGAAAGTTCACTAGTTTTATTGTACTTTATGGGGGCTTGCTGGCTTTGGGTCTTTCACTGGAGAAGCCAAAGCAACGGCACCTTAATTCTTGAGCTCAGCAGTCTGTGTAAGCAGCTGTTTTTAAAATGGTGATTTGTATTACTGTTGCTGGCAGTTTAATTTTAGTTGAATTACCAAATGATTGGGTGCCTATAAGAAATGGGTGTCAGAATACAATTTCAGAGGTCTTCGCTTGGGACATAAAATGTATCAGCATAGAAGGTAGACAAACAAGGCTTTGTGAAGTGTACCTTTGGAGACTTTATCACCCATGGGAGACTCATGGTATTGGAGTTTTCTCCTCTCAAGAAAAGAGAGTCTAAGTGGTGTAGCTTTCACGTGGTGTTTTTTTACTTACCACTCAGTTTTATGTTCATTGAGCTTTTCATGTGTATGCCAACTGTCCATAAGAGCCTCCACTGGTGGATCAGGTCTGAGCTGCTTTCCAGTGTGTGGCCAGGAATCATCTTCTACTTACCACCTCAATTTATTTTTTTTTTAACTCTCTTCTTCCTGCCTTTCTCTGCATGTCTCAATGCAGGGATGCAAGTAACTACTGGAAAATTTTCCCACCAGTTAAAAAATGATCATTTGTGTTTGCTTTCTAGGTCGAATTCACCAAGCTATGGTAACATCGCTCAATGAAGATAATGAAAGTGTAACTGTTGAATGGATTGAAAATGGAGATACTAAAGGCAAAGAGGTAAACTTAATGATTTTAAAGCTTTTATCTTTTTAAAAAATATGTAGTCTACATTAATGTTACTTTGGAATTTGCACTGGAAACAAAAAGGAGATATAAATCTTAATTTACTTGATGATTTTTGTTTCGCATGGGAGCTGTTGGGCAAATGCTGGTTTCTGTTATATTAGATTTGACTTGCTGATCTCTGGTTCATAGATTTTTAAATTGTTCTTTTCATCTATTGATTTTGATACAGATTACAAAGGCTGACCTTGTTATCCTCTTTTTAGAAGTAGAAAAATCAAATTTTTGATACAGAGAATGACTGGCAGTTCAGACAGGAAACTAGTGGGGGAGCTAGATTAGAAATCTTTTTGTGTTTGTATTATTGATTAATTGAAATGCTAGTTTAATTGCTTATTTATCATTGGCAATAATTTTCCAGCCTTGCTTTCTTTGAGAAACTCTTTGTGTGTAACGCTTTGCTGTTCCTTCTTCCTTTAAATTTTGAACCATGTTAGCCAGTTTCAGCTGAGATTTAGAGAAGCATCTCAGAAATAATTACACTTCACTAGTTTTGTGAAAGCACAGGAAAAAAGAAAAAAAAAACCCTGTGAAAAAGGCCTTGTGACCTCATGTGCTGAGCTCATCCCTCTGGACATGCAGAATCCATATAGCGGTGAGGTCTTTGAAAGGTCCAGCCAGGGGAAATGGCAGTCAATAGAGACAAAAGCTGTTTAAGATTTTTAGGAAAACAAGTTTCAATAGATCTGAAGCCAGCTACTTTACATTTTACAGCATTTTGAATGAGGAACACTTAGAAGAAGAAAAACAGCATGATAAATTTAACACGGTTTCAACTGTGCTTTTATTTTTCGGGTGGTTGTAATTTGTCTGTTTCTCTTGCACTGTCTGGGAAATTTCAAATAATTGAGATCTTTTTTTATGTTACAGAATGTCTTTCATGTTTTGTAGTGACTGTCAAATTACCACAGTAATGCTAACTACTCTGTTTTCATTTAATCACTTGGCAAAATTATTAATATCTATTGGTCATTTTTAATGCATACTTTTTCTGAAGAGTCTGTTTTCAACTCCTACAAAGACCAAAGCTTATGCTGGTTTTAGTAAACATAAACCAAGATAATTTAGATTTTAGAATTAACAAATTATGGGGTAAAACCACTAAGTGTATTTACTGTTTATTCACAAACATAACAGGCTAAGGGGAGAGGGTAAGTATTGTTTTAAGACTCATAAATGCGTTTTGTATTTTCTTACACAGATTGATTTGGAGAGCATATTTTCACTTAACCCAGATCTTGCACCTGATGAAGATATTGAGCCTGGTCCAGAAACAGCACCACCACCTACTCCACCAGCCAAAGTAAACAAAATTGTGAAGGTTGGTAATAGCTATGCAACGTGTTCATGTTAAGCTTGCAGTACTGCTATACATGTTGTTATGCTTGAATTTTTTAACTTTAGCTTTTGTGTCTGTTGAGCTATTTGATAACTGTGTTCCTTTCTTTTTCCTACAGTGAGTAGGGGTCTAAGAATTTTTTGAGCAGAGAGGGAGTTGGGAACTAATATTTATGTAACTGAATATATCTCAAGTTAAAACAGAGAAAAGGTTTTGGAGGTTGTTTTGAAACAGCATATATAATTTGAGTAGTCTTCTCCCTAGCCTCTTTAGGGAGGGATTTGGCAGCAATCACCTCTCTGTATTGCTGATGATGTGTTATTTTCATTCACTGGAAAGAAGCAGAGGTGGGGCTGCAGTTTAGGTTTTCAATAATACAGTGATCAAATAACATAAGATTTCTTTCCTTATAGAGTCGACGATATACAGCAGCTGTTAAGAATGATGTCCCTGCCAGAGATAACAGAGGTAAATGTTATCTCTTTCCATTTCAAGGAAGTAAAATATATGGGAACATTTTAACCTCCTGTTCATCTAACATTCCTTGATAGTTCTGCATTTCTCTGTCAGTATGTATACATGCTACATGTAAAAAACATAGTAGTACATAATTTCTAGAATTAGTTCAATGTGTGTTTAGGAATCAATACTATACAAATAGTATTTATATGCAAGTTTAGGCAATGTAGCATTAGGAAAGTTAAGCTGAATGAACTGAAGGTACATAAAATTGAAGTTAATTAATTATGCTACATTAAACTATGTGTGGACTTTTCCAAGTAAAAGCATCCTCAATTTGCTTTAGCTTAATTGAGCAATATACACAAAGTAATGCACTTAAATTTCTTAGGCTTTCAGTTTTTTAACTTAGTTTTGTAACAGTCTGTGTGTAAACACTTATTGAAAGAGTTCTTAAGCCCTATGAGTTATTTCTCACTCTAAAGTTAACAGCAAAAAATGTACAAAAAATGCTGAAATACCACAGAAGGATAGATGAAAAGCATGTATTGGATGAGTGGAGATGTAATGCATCTCATGGAAAAGAAGTTAGTGCTTATTGTTTCATTTTCTTTCCTGCGTTAAATTTAGCTAACTTGTATTGATAATGTTGATGTTTCTTCTTCCAAACATTAATGCAGACTAGATTCCAGTCTATCTGTTTAAACTTGAAGAACAAGTGGGCTTGTGTATCTTTGCAAGTGCTCTTCAGACTTTCAGCCATTTGTCTCTGGGGGTGTTAAATGAAAATCACATGAGGAGAGGATAATTTTTTTTTATCTAATATGGTTTAAGTTTGAGAAATCTCACTGATGAGCTCTCCTCACATCCATACGTGCTGTTGTTTGTAGTTCATGATCTGTTTGGTATGGAATAACCCTGTTACTTGTATTTTAATAGGTCCTCTGTATCTTATTATTCACAGCCTAAGTATTTGTTCTTTGTTGGCCTTGTAATTTAGCTTTTCTCAGCACACTGTCGTATTTCCTGTAGTGTATTTGTGCTACAAACTAGATCTCCTATCATATTTGGAATGATCTGGGCATTTGTCTTGTCTGTCCCATTCAATAACTGTTTACATAGTTGTCTCCATGTTGCACGGTGAGCTGGCCTTTCATTTCGAGTGTCATCTCTGGTTGCTAATCAAAGCTGATACCTTCACTTTCATACTCTTCTGGTAGACTGTTAGGAGAGTGTGCAGGAAATGGGCCAGCTGCAGCAGAGCTGCTTGAAGCAACTCTTTGAAAAAACAATTTAAAGCATTCAGGTCTACCAGAGCTGCTTGCCTCTCACCAATCTCACTACATTCACTGGGAACAGTCACTGCATCTTCAGAAATTGTCATCATTAGCATGTATAGAATCAATGCATAAGTTTAGACATACTGATTGTATTTGTATCTTTCAGTATAGTGTCAACAAGGTTGTTTCTTCCACTCACAGATTGAGTTGCACTTTGCTGCCTTTCATTTGTATCCCTTTGCTTCTCCAGAGATTGTAGGCTCAACGGGATGGGACCATTTCATAACATCTAGAGAATGTGAAACAGCAGGGCTTCTTTTCTTACTTGTTTTTTTGGGTATAATCACAAAAGAAATAAAATTTCAGCACTTTAAGCTTCAGGACTGCATATGTCACAAGTACACGCTTCATTCTGTACACATAATAAGTTGTACTAATTCTTCAGTAGACTGTTTAAAAATATGCACATGCAGCACTGGTACTTAACGATTTTGTGTTGGTGTATAACACTGGGATAAAAAAGGCTTCATACCAAATGTCTTTATTGATAGACTTCCTACATGTGTGGCTCCTCCTCACCCCCAGTACATTCTTGTGTCTGGAAGGGGACCTCATTTTATCTCATCATAACAAAGCAGGTCAGAGTTGCATAGTAACGTTACTCTTCCATATCCAGATGAACTTTGTGCTTTTCCTTTGCAGTGGTTGGTTCTGCACGTGCGCGACCTACTCAGCTTCCCGAGCAGCCTTCTTCCTCTCAACAGAATGGTATTGTTTCAGATATATCTCCAGTTCAAGCTGCAAAAAAGGAATTTGGACCCCCTTGTATGTAAAACATGTATCAAGGATTCATCCATTCTGGGCATTACATGTACATTCTCTTGGATTATTTTGTCCATAAATGACAAATGGTCTACATGCACAGTTGTTTGTGGGCTTCCTCAAGGAGCTTTTGCAGAGTTGTGGCTAAACAAGTGTTCACTTTCATCATACTTGTGCTAGTATTTGAAATTAGTTTTTCCTTTATCATTTTCTAACCATGGCAGTGTGGTTTGGTTTTGTGTGTTTTGGGTTTGGGTTTTGTTTTTTTTGTTGGTTTTTTTTTAAAATTTACCTGGACTTTCTTTTAATTCAAACCAAGAGATCACATGTATCTGTCCAACTATTTTTTGAGGGTCATTGTCCTTATATTTTTGGTCATGTAATTATTGTCCCATTCCCATGACTTTTTTCTAATTCATTATTTTATGAATTTTAGAAATTAAATTGCCATAATTATTCTATACTAATGCTGATTTGCTTGAAAAGATAATTGATGTAAATGCATTCTAATAAATTAATATAATCATTATGTTACATTGTATATAATAAATCCATGCAACACTGAAAATATTTTAAAATTATATCATTTTCTTTAAGCACGTAGGAAATCTAACTGTGTAAAAGAGGTTGAAAAATTGCAAGAGAAGCGTGAAAAAAGAAGGTTACAGCAGCAGGAACTTAGAGAAAAAAGAGCTCAGGTTAGTATTTTTAGCTTGGATGGAAAATGTATGTCAGCAAGAGAAGCTTGCAAAATCCTTGTGCTTTTTTCAGTCTTTAATAATTTTTGATTTCAACATTATTACAGTTCATAAATGTTTTTATCCTGTATGCAAGTCTGATAAATATTTTGGTGCTTGGGTGTATTGCTTTCATAACTGTTACTTTAGACAGTGACAGTTATCTCTTTGTTTTCTTCGTACAGAAATAATTGCTTACAATTGCTTATCTTGCCATGTGTTCTTCAGTGATCAAGTACTGATGATACCTATTTCTTAGGAAAAATCAATTGTTGAAAATAATCAAACCTTTGGCTTTTAGATAGGTCTGGTTTTCTACAGGAGATGCTACAACATTATGATAAATTGTTCTTTATGATCTTTGATGCTTTGTAGGAATCTGAGGCTCAAGTTTGAACAGTGACTTTTAATATTTTTTCTTCAAATCAATCTCTGTATTTATAATTTAGCTATGCGTCATGCAAGCAGCTTGACAACAAGTTGTTAGAAATACGTGTGAAAGAAATGAAGTTGTTAATCCTGTGAGAAAAATCTCTTAATATTAAATGACTTTCTGTCACAGTGGTGTAAAAGCTTTACCAAACTACTAGTGTAATCTTGTTGGCAGCCCTGTGTGTATGTGTTAGTCTCTAAAGAGATACTACCAGTCCACTACTGACATGACAAGTACCACCACCAAGTAAATAATTCAGGCAATTTACTTCATGGTTTAACAATGTTTCCAGGTTGACCTAAAGTCATCTATGTTTAATTGATTTTCTCTAATTTCCATTGTTCTACACAAACGCAAAACAATACTATGCTTTTATGTGTGAGGAACGACTTTTTTTTTGCTTTATATATTAAAATACTGTGATGTGGTACTACACCTAAATTTTTTTTCAGCACTCACTTGCATCTGAGTCTTAAACTTCTGTTTGAGTAAGCTGTGTTTGTCTTAGTGACCTGTATGTAGCTGTGTTTCGTGTTGGTTTGTGTATTCTGTTGTCATTCTTGTGAAATACAACAATAATTATCTAAGCACTGTCTTCTAGTGGGCAAGATCTTTAAAAAGACTTTGAAGAATATTAGGCAAATACTTTTTACACAATAAGCGGTACTCCTTTCTGAATATTAGAAAGAAAGATTTCACCAGGAATATATTTTGTTTGGACCTTCTGTCAGCAGTTTTTAGTTCACTGTTGGCAGGGTGAACACCACCAAGGTACGGTCAATATCTGATTACTAGGACACAGTTTTAGCTGTGTCACAGGTGCAGAGACATGAGCTGGCTCCCTTTCAGCTTGTTAACCCCAGTGCAGTGCTTTCTGAGAGTGCCTATGCTGTTTTCACAACCAGCTGTGATCGAAAAGGAGTTTTATATCATCTGGGGGGAGCTATGCAAAAATTAATAAGATCTGGGCACCAGAGATGGCTATGTATGGCATCAAGAGCAAGGTGTGAAAACTGACATCTGCGGGGACAAGTGACGGAAAGGACGTTGACATTTGACGTTTGACAGATTCTGCAGAGAGCCAGCTCAGTTCACAGGAGACTTAGGCTTAGCAAGGCTTGGAGGGGCTCCATGCATGGCCTCTTATGTGTCCATTCATTCTGGGACTGATGGCTCCAGGTTAGGGAGAGGAGGTCTTCTGAGCCTGGAACTAGCCTACTGTATATCCTTGGGATTTCTTCTGCTTTTTGGGGAGGGAGTCTAGGAGCATTAGAAGAGTTTCCATGGCATCCAAGTAACTCAGGACCTGTAGTAGTAGGATCAGGCTACTTTAACCGTCTTGGATCCAGCAGGGTTGTGTTTAGACTAGCTGGGGTGCCTGTCTTGTCCTCTGCAGTGTGTGTTATACCTGTGTGATGGAGCGTATTCATCTGCCTTATCTCCGATTAAGAAGCATTGACTGTGTATTTTATCTGGTGTTCTGCAGCAGTTTGAAGGTGTTTCCTTGGTGTGCAGATTCAGGCAAAGGTGGGAGTAATTTCTCTTTCTTGAGTAGACTGTTATTGAGTCCTCAATTAAAAAGTGTTTTCTATTACATGCCAACCAAAAACATGAAATAGGATGCATGTAATTGTTTTGCTTTATGATCAGTAAATTAGCTACACCAGAATGGGAAAAGGCATTAAGCTTGCATTTGAGACATGTCTGGCGTTTTGGAGGAAAAATAAGGTTTCAGTTAATGTGCATTTTCCTTCTCAGTAAATACGGAAGATACTGAAGTTAGTCAATTTCAGGAAAATGTGTATTAGAAATTCTGTTTTTTAATTCCCTAGGATGTTGATGCTACAAACCCAAATTATGAAATTATGTGTATGATAAGAGATTTCAGGGGAAGTTTGGATTATAGACCACTGACAACTGCAGATCCTGTAAGTACCCCAGCAACATGGAAATTTTTTATCCTTCTGTATTTTTACTATATGTTTTCAATTTTTTCAATGTATACTTCTGTCTGCAAACATGAAAAGTAAGTACTTTAATATAGATTAGTATTTATTATATCGTGGGGTGTTTTTTTTCAGCAGTTGGATGATACTGAAATTAGTAGGTATTGAAAGTCCTAGGTTACAAAATCATTAATTATATTATGTCACTTAAATATATTTTTAGTATTGAATAATACCAATATGTACTAAGGAGTCGGTCAGCCTCTGTATTGTAAATTCTCCTGGGATGCTAGGGGATGTGCACACAAAACCATTAAGCTTCTCTGAAAAACCCTGTTGAGTGTAAAGATTAATATTTGACCTTTTAAGGGATATAAGGGCCTTTGGTTTGCAGAGAAGTCAGAGGAGCCGAATCCTTAAATGATGATGGTTGTCAGATCTCTGTAGAAATTGGATGTGTGACAATTTCTGTCAACAGTGTTTCTACCCTGTTAGAGCTAGATTTGCTTGTGATGTTCCAAGATGTACCTGGTTAGTCTACAGGATTCGATCACTCTCTGCAAGGAGTTTTGGTTCTCCCTTTTGGGTTCTTGGCTATTGTGCAGACACAGGGGGCTTTTAAATATCCATATGACTTGCTGTCTTGGAAATTTCTCTTTGTTTAAACAATTGGTTAATTAATTCAAGAACAGAACTAAAAGTAAAATATAACTGGAATTGGGGTATAGTTCACTGAAAGATTGTTTCCTTTGTAGATTGATGAGCACAGGATATGTGTTTGTGTACGAAAACGACCACTCAATAGAAAAGGTATGGCCATTGAAGATTTTGCTGAATATTTTCTTTGACAAGTTGCTTCTGATAGTAGTATTATTTGTGTTAAGGATGACTAAAAATACTGATCAAAGGTCAGACTGTTATACTAGACAATATGTGTGACAGACCCAGAAAATTCCTACACTTGTCATAACCTGGGGAGATAAGTAGTTTAAGTGTCACCATTTTATGGACTGAGAGCTGAGGTACAGAGAGACTGCAGGTTTTTTCCAAGGTCATCTAGGATGTATTTAGTTGATCTGGGAATTAATTCTACTGTAGCTTCTTCAGTATTCTTACATTGCGTTAGGATCACCATTCTTCTAAACTGTTCTTCAAATGATCTCCTGAGCAGAGAGCTACCCAGTGAAAACTTCCATTACACATTTTTTGTACTGTATTTTTACATTTTCAAATGGTCTTGAATCAGACATCAAAGTAGCAATTCACATGCCTAAATGCTGATGTTTTATGGCATGTTAGGTACCCAGTGGCATCCTCACAGGGCTAGTGGATTACAAACAAACTGGAGACTTATATGCCCTGGAGCTGCTGCTCAGGGCATGGCAAGATACCCTAGGGCCTATGAAATGCCACTTAAAAACTATTAGGTACTGGAATTGACTCCCTAGTGGCTTTTTTATATGTGATTACTATTACAACTTTTTTTTTTTTTTTTTTTTTTTTTCCCTGTCTGCTCATCAGACTGGAGTCTGTATTCCAAAAAAACCTTTCAGGTTTTCAACTCCAGTTGAATCCCAATCTTCCCATGAAGTTCATTACTTTCAGCAGGAAGTTAAGAGTGCAAATGCTTCTGGATTGCAGCCTGTCTAAATCCAGCACTTAAATAAGATTACTTTTGTTTTGAAAGATGTTTCTTTCCTTCTCTTTTTATTATATTTCCTTTAGGTAAAGGACTCAAAGAGCATAGCTCTGACTCTGAAATAACATGAGATACATTTCTTATTTTTGTATTGTCAGAAATACCCCCTGAGAATTATCCGGAGCATATCAGAGGAAAATAGGAGAATTGTATAGGAAAGAGAAAACATATTTTGATACCAATACATAGTTAGTTTTTGTCTTTTTTTTTTCTTCCACATTGCTGCTTCCCCTACTTTATTTTTTTGTTACTTTTATTTTTCTCTTATTCCTCATATTTTTTTCTTTTGTTGATCTTGAAATGAATGCGTAATCTAGATGTTGGTTAATTGAAACTATTTTCCACAACCTATTTTGTAAGGTCATTCCACATATAAATCTGGTAGCAGTTGAATTTCTGTTGCAGTATTGGAGGTTATCTTTAATAAAATATGAATTAGAAGTCTGATACATCTGGAGGAAATGTCACCTTCTACCTGTGCTGAAGGTGGACAAAGAAAAATTACAGTAAATTAAAGCAAGTTGTCCTGGGGCATGAGTTAGGATTCAGAAGTAGGATTTGATTTTGTGAAAGTTGCATATCTTAAGTATTAATGATTTGGAGATATTAAAAAAAATAGTTAGGAGGTATTCATAAGAAGATGAGTGTCTAAGTAAAAATGAGGTTGGCACTAAATTTATTTTGCAGTTTTAAGAATAATCTATAATAAAAAGGTATCCATGAAATAATCCACGCAGGGGTGAACCACCAAGATAATCTAGTACCCACATTGTACAATCTTCTGAAAACACACACTTCATAAGAAACAGTATTTCTTATGCCACATTTTAAAATTGAAGAGTATAAAAGAATCAAAGATATGAGTGTTTAGCCCCTCAAAAGAAAAAATTTAATTAGTTAGTTCTGTCAGTCTCACAAACACAGAACTATCACCAAAATCTTTGGGTGTTCTCAGCACCAATTGTTCTGTATGTTGACTTTGCAAGAAGTAGGTGTTCAGATTGATGTTTTAAGATGTTATTTCAGTGACATGTATTTATAACTGAGAAATGTATGGTGGGTTTCAGAGACAGTATTCCAAACTTTTGTCAAGCAAGGAATACAGGTTGTCATAACAAATAGCTGGGAGCAAGTACATGTCTTATTCCAAACAATTGTTTAAGAAAAAACAGCTTTTGACTACTTAAATTAAAAAAGCTTTTGCTGCACAGGATTGACTGTCATACATCTCTTTTCATCACTGTTCCTTATTTCTTTGTGATTACTGCAGAATACTTAGATTTTATTTCATTGCAGTGCAGTTGAAAAATTTATTATATAGTGACTTGAATGCATATTTCTGTTGGTTTGTAAGGTCATGCAATGGTAACCTTTGTACTGGTTTTGTACGTGTACTGGTACATTGTACATTTGATCAGTATATTAACTGATGAAAAGATTTCTATCTGGTTGTATAAAGCCACATCAAGTTCTTGAACTGTATGCCTTAAGTTTTACATAGAAATGTAAGTAGGACACATTAGTGATCCTGACTGTACACACAAAGGATCTTTATTTTTGTGCATATCATGGATCACTGGGTTCTCTGTTTTGCTGACTCAGATCTAATACAACAATTAGCAGTAAGTTGTAGTGCTGTGTAGTAATTATAACCTGGGATTTCGCTGCTGAAATTGCATCTAGATGGCTGTTGTGGTTTAACCCTGGCCAGCAGCTAAGCACCATGCAGCCACTTGCTCAGTCCTCCCCTGTCCCAGTGGGATAGGAAGGAGAACTGAAAAAAAGAACAAAACTTCTTGAGTTAGGAACAGTTAAATTTAAAAAAAAAAATAAAAATATACTAACAGTAATGAAAAGGAATATAATAAAAGAGAAAGAAAATAAAACCCAAGAAAAGACAAGTGTTGCACAATGCAGTTGCTCGCCATCTGCAGTTCAATGCCTGAGCAGTGATGTGCCCCCCTGACCTCTCCCCCTAGTTTATGTACTGAGCATGACATTCTGTGGTACAGAATATCCCTTTAGATAGTTCAGGTCACCTGTCCTGGCCAAGCTCCCTCCCAGCTTCCTGTGCACCTGCTTACTGGCTGAGCGTGGGAAACTGAAACATCCTTAATTTAAGACAAGCACTACTTTGCAACAGCTAAACCATTAGCGTGTTACCAACATGATTCTCACACTAAATCCAAAACACAGCACTATACCAGGAACTAGGAAGAAAATAAACTCTATTACAGCTGAAACCAGGACAATAACTTTTCTGCATTCCTAGTGATAGGAAGGATCATTAGCTTTTTCTGCTTACAAGGGAGTTTTTAGTAAGGATTATAATTTATATAAATGCTATATTAAAGATGTATACTTTAGGTTCCAGGAGGAATACACAAATGAAAAAGTCTGTGTAAATTAAAAGCAAAATAGAAAGCTGTGAACATTTGACTGTAATGTTAAGGATTTAGGGAAAATAAAAAGATACAATTTTAAAATAAAGCTGATTATTATAAGAATATTAATTTCTTTGTGTTTTCAAGTTTGACAGTCCAAGAAATATAGGACTTTCAGTATCCAGCTTCTCCAGTAGAGATGTTATTTATGAAGACTCAAAGGATATGGCAGTAATCTGTAAAACATATAGAAGCCATGGGGAAAAAGAACTCAAATCCATGGAAAGTGTTATTATAGAATACATGACAAGCTACAATGCTAATGATGTAATTAATGATCTTAGTTTTCCTTATCAGCTTTGTACAACCTCTCATTTCTATCAATTGGTGGGACAGGATGACTAGACTTCTGAAATGAAGTCTTTTACTTGGCAGATTACTATCTAGTCATCGGAAGCCCAGATCCATTGCAGTGTTGTTACCTGGAGGAGCTGTGTTATCCGAGATGTTATAAGAGTGTAAACAATGAAAAAATGTAAAAAATAATGATGTTTTGCTAGTTAAATATATATTTCACTTATTTTATAGAAACTTTAATGAAAGACCTTGATGTAATAACAATTCCTAGTAAAGATGTTGTGATGGTACACGAACCAAAACAAAAGGTGGATTTAACAAGGTACCTAGAAAACCAAACTTTTCGTTTTGATTATGCCTTTGATGACACGGCTCCTAATGAAATGGTTTACAGGTATGTGTATATGCTTTATTTTTTTGTGAATCTTTTCTCTCATGTATCTCCTGTGTGAATACATGTGGGCTCACTTTGGTCATAGACTGTTATTCTCTCTGTTACCAGATATGTATATGGCTACCTCAACCTTTTTTTTGCCTGTTTACTTTTGTTTTAACATCCTGAATTCTTCATCCACCCTTGACCTTAGTCTTCCTCTAAGCCCTGCTGCTTTCCAGACTTTAGTGTTTATTGCCTGCTTCCTCAGCTACTGAATATTTGAACAACTTCATGAGCTCTCCGTTTGCCTCAGGGTTATTGTCTCATTAATTGTTGTATGTGCAGCACTTGAGGAACCTGAATCATGGCTTCTGGTCTTCAGGAAACTTAGAAGAAAAGGACAGCCTAACCCCAAGAGAGCTTGCAGTTTGAATATAATATAATTAAGAGATGGAAACAAAGCAGGAGAGGGTGGGGAAATAGTACAAAGAAAGCAAGAGAGGTTATTTTGCTGTATTGTTGAGATAACTGAGCTTGCTTGGCTGCTGGAAGCAATCTGTCAGGAGTAACATGAAGGTGCATGGAGCTAAGTTACCTTGCTCAAAATGCTGAATCTTTCTGATTTAAAACCAACAGCAACAATGACACACATCTGTTTTCAGCCCCAAGGTATTTCAATCTCCATTTTCTCCTTTATACTTCTGCTTCACTTCCACAGCTGGCACAGAATAATTCACACAGCACTTTTAAAAATGCATTTAGAAGTAGCTCTTTACCTTGTATAAGTCAATAAATGGAGTAGATACAGTGTCAAGCAAGGTTAGACACCATGACAGGTCATAATCTTGGTACACGGTCTAAATACTGTGAAGCTTTTTTCAGGGAATATTGGTATTAGATAATAATTTAATGAAGATAATTTTCCATATGCTTGTAAAGTGCTTCCTGTAGCCTTAAGGAGTAGTGACAGAGAAATACCTGAATTCTTGTTTTTAATACAACTAGGAAGCACAAGCTAGGATCGTGTCCTGATAGATGTTGGATACCAACATCCTGTTGGTGGATAACAGAAAATTCATAGTAAAATAATTACTAAAAGGCCTTGAAAATTAAAATTTCTGTCTTACGCTTGATATAATTTGGAGGAGAAGGGTGACAAAAGGAAAATATATAGGCTGTTGTTTTATGCACACAAAAGACTTCTAAACAGCAAAGCTGTGCTCTTGAAGATTTCTGTCTCTAAAGATTGTCTACTGGTAGCATCTTGTCTTTCTTGATACTGAAGAGCTTCAGGAGAGCAACCTAGCTGGTAAAGTGTGCCTCTTGCAATTGTTCTCCTCCTGCTTAACAATCAGTTCTTCTAATCTCCCTCTTTCTTGTTACTGAGCTTTATGAGCATAGTGTTTAAATGTGAGGGATATTTTTGGCATACAGTCTTGTATTTTTGTATTGAGTTTTCTGCAAACAATTTTTATTAGTTACATAATACATTAATGATAATACAGAAAAATCTTGAAACGTGATTGTACTTACTGACATGGTAAATCTGTAGTCCGTGTAGCAGTACAGACTTCCTCCCTTATATGTCATAATACTGATGATTACTTGAAGGGCAATCTGCTTCAAGGCCAACTGCAATAACAGAAGTAAGAGCAAGATGGCTATTTTCATCTGCTCTCACCAGAACTTCAGGGTCACAGTGAGAGGAAAAAAAAGTGTGGCAAGTGACTCCAGTTTTCTCTTACTACGCAAAATGATTCAATGTATTTCTATACTGAAACATGTTGTTCAGTTTGAGGGAGAAAAGTACATCATAGTTGTCATTATTATTGTTATTACTACTGCTATTATTAATACTATTATTATGGTTAAGCTGTATTTTAAGTATTTTTTAATCTGTGAGTCACAACATTGAGTGGCAAGTTTTTGTTAATATTTAAAAGCATGCACTGGTTTGAATGGGTGTGCCTTTTGAGTTTTAAAGGAGAATCAGAGTTTACATTTCTGAAAGATCAAGATTGTAAATAAAAGTTCTAGTAAAAGTAAAGTTGGACTGTTCTGGCGTGGTACCATTTGGAGTTGTATAATGCTTTATAAAAACTTTTCTAAATATGTTTGTATTTTGCCTTACTTTAAAATAGGTATATTAAATCCCTTTTTTATAAATCAAAATAAGACATTTCAAACTCCATTAAACAGAGATAATGCAGAGTGCTCCTTAGGTGGATGGACTTTATGAAATTTTGTATTTTATATATAAAAAGAACAAATCTCAAAATATGGGAATATCCTCTTGAAGACAAGGGAGGTTTATGTTTAGAAACAGCAAAAAAGAAAGACTAAGTCTCATCAGGAATCGTCTGTTATATTTTTGATGAAAATTCATGATTCAGTTAAACTTAGATTTTTTGCATAACCCTTGGTTGCTGAATGGCTTAGTCTTACCTGTAGTATTTTTGTAAGTGATCTTGTGTTTGTTCGAAAGTAGAATGAAAGTAAGCTGTAACACCTCCATGTTTCTGTGAACAATTGTTCCTGTTTCTGTCACTTAAAGGTACTTTATGTGTAAACACCTGGAAAAAGTTTTGAAAGAGATTTTTGCAGAGTCTCTTACCTCTATTGGTAACCCTTCATTAATTTACCCTTTGCTTTTGGAGGTTTTTAATGAAATAACGGTGACAAGCAGCTGAAGTAGGAACAATAACTATGTTTTTTAAAGTAAAAATTAATTCTCTAAAATAGAAAAATGATACTTTGGATAATATTTTTTTAACACATCAAGTAATACTTCACGATAACTAGATATTTCCATTCTGAAGAGCTTTTCCTGAGCCTTTTTTATGTATGTTCTCAAAATACTAATGTGCGGTGAGTGATGTTTTGGCCACTTGTCTTCTAAATTTAATCTTGGAAGCTGATTTGGGGAGGGGAAAAAAAAAAAAACAAACCCAAAAATATTGCAGAATTTTAGGATTGGCAAAACCTAAGTATTTATCTGCTCTGCCGCTCTACTTCTATGTCTTCTAATTCTGTGTTCTTTAGGGAGCTCCAAACTCCATGTAGTAAGCTGTGCTTTTTCCATTAAAACAAAGGAAATTTTTTTCTTAGGGTTTAAAGGACAATAATATTGCAAAATAAATGAAGGCAAGTTCACAGGTTTTATGTGATTGTTTGCATTGTTTTAATGCCTTAGCTTTAGCTGGTAGTCTCTTCAATTCAGCAATTAATGTAGACATGTCCTGTGGCCTCTCAAAATATGGGACTAGTTCTGTCACTTCTGGCCTTAAAATTTATAGCAACCTTGTGGTAGTGGCAACTTAAAGTAAATCAGTGTCTCAAGTACTGTTGGTTTTTGCTTTTAAGGTTTACAGCTCGACCATTAGTGGAGACCATATTTGAAAGGGGAATGGCCACTTGTTTTGCATATGGGCAAACAGGGAGTGGAAAAACCCATGTAAGTATTTCTTCTACATGTCAGCAATACACTACTTCTCATGTGTGATACACTTACATAAGTTTTAATAAGGAACAAATACAAATGTTACAGTTCTATGATTTTTATAGTGTATTTTTGACCTTGTTTTGTTTCTTTAAATTTAGACTATGGGTGGTGACTTTTCAGGAAAGAACCAGGATTGTTCTAAAGGAATATATGCACTTGCAGGTGAGATTTTATTGGTTTGTTGTCTTTTTGCAATCTAGTTGAGATCAATAAATTTTCTACTCCCTGCCATACAAGCATCAGGGTCTATATATTTTGCATTACAGTGGAGCTTTGGTAACATCAAAAGTAGTTCCTAGTTGTGTAGTCTTTGTACAGTAAAGTAAATGTGTATATATAGGTAACTTCAAAAAATGTAATAAATACAGCAGAAGGTTAATTAAGTTTATAATTTTGGGGTCTTTTGCATCTTTGGATGTAATGTGGCCGTTTAAACTGCAATGTTTTAGACTTGGTTGACTGACCCTATCTGTTATACATGCAAAATATGAGAGATGCTGTAAAATAGACTGTTATGCATTAATGAGTCTTCACTAAATGCAGATATGTAACGAGATTTCTTTTTATTATGGAAACGTATTCACAGCTCGGGATGTCTTTTTAATGCTAAAGAAACCAAACTATAAGAAGTTAGAACTTCAAGTATATGCAACATTTTTTGAGATATACAGTGGTAAGGTAAGTACCTGAAGGGTCAATTCCTTTCACAAACAAGATTTTGAGCTTGTTACCTAGAATAAATTTTTCCTCATTGTACAGAAAGCTTTATTTCAAATAATTCTTTACACTTACCTTCCAATCCTGTTTTTCCATGGAATGCATTGCATATTTTGAAACGGGATTTGAAACAAAACTGTCTTTTAAAGCTCCTCTTTAACTGTTATGTTTTCCCCCCTTCCTTAAGGTTTTTGACTTGTTGAACAGGAAGACAAAATTAAGAGTGTTAGAAGATGGTAAACAGCAAGTCCAGGTGGTGGGATTACAGGAACGGGAAGTCAAATGTGTTGAAGATGTTCTTAAGCTTATTGAAATAGGCAACAGCTGCAGGTACCTCCCACAGCTTACACCAGTTTTTCATTGTACATTAAAAAAACAGAACAAGATTTTTTGGGGGGTCTTTTCATAGTGATGGCTTTTTAATAAGCAGTGGTTTTATTGACAATGTTGGTTGCAAATAAGGAATCCACCTGTCTTTTAAATAAAGATGTTTAGAGTTTCTCTGTCTCCTAGAGAGAGAGAGAACTGATTTTTGTACAGGATGTGAACTGCATGCATTATGTAAGCAGTTTACTGATTTAAATTCACATCATTTGTAATCTGGAATACTGCCAGATTCTTCAGCTCTGAAAGGCCTTGATATGTAGTGACAGAGGTTAAGCATAATTTAAAAATTTTTTTTAAGAATCCAGCTTCATTGTTTTTAAAATTAGCCTTGTGCATAGACTGCTGCCTGATCAGATAAAAATGCCATCAGCATTTTACATGTAATCTTTCATAATCTGAAATCTTTGAAGATCTGATTATTCTTGCTTTTAGAAGGGAGGTAAAATTTTACCAATCTTCCATTTCTCCTTGAAGACATGGAAAAAGAGGTACATCCAATTATTAGGGTTGTATCTCTAGTGTTCACAAGAATGTTAGATATGCTGTCAACACATGAGAAAATACAGGACTCTGCCCTGAAAAAACTAATGTTCTGAGGGTAGTGTGTTTCACATATATGGTCCTTTGCCTGTTCATATGTGCTTCTCTTTTCTCCTTTTGTTTAAAGGACATCTGGCCAGACATCTGCAAATGCACACTCATCTCGAAGCCATGCAGTGTTTCAGATTATTCTCAGAAGGAAAGGGAAATTGCACGGTAAATTTTCTCTGATTGATTTGGCTGGCAATGAAAGAGGAGCAGATACTTCCAGCGCAGATAGGCAGACACGACTGGAAGGTGCGGAAATTAACAAGAGCCTTTTAGCACTCAAGGTAACTGAAATTTTTCCATTGTCTTTGAGGAGGTGGAAGCCTTCTACATACAATAGCAATGACTATTAAAATGAGTGTTTTTGCAGGCTTTGCTTGTCTACCTTGTCTCCTGATGTGACAGGTAAAATAAGGTATTGATTTTTCCTCTAAATGCCTGAAGGAATACTTGGTAACTACCAAGTAGAAACATTGCAGAAACATTGTGCTATCAACTTGCATGGATTTAAAAAAAAAAAAAAAACAAAAAACCACACAAAACCCACATCAACAAAAAGTCCTCAATGGTTGAATTTTTGAAGACTTTTCTGATATATCTGTAAAATGGGAGGACAGATGACTTACTTTAGTACTCAAGGTCTGAAATACTAACTGGAAACACTCTTATTGATCCCAGTATTTTTTTGTTTTCTAATAAAAAATGAAATTATGTTTATTTACTGCTTTTAATTCAGTAAAGCAACCCAACAGCAACATATACAGAAAGAGCTATGAGTAAAAAGTTGGAATCCGTTTTTAGCAAATTATCTGATACAGTCACTTTACAGTTTGTTGTTGTTTCGGTGAGGATAGAGGTAATTTTTCTTCTTAGCTAGAATAGTGCTGTGTTTTGGATTCAGTATGGGACTTGTTATGAGAAGACTGTTGAAAATGCATTGATGTTATCAAGGACTTTCCAACTTCCCATGTCCTGCGGGTGTGCAGGTGTACAAGAATCTGGGAGGGAACAGAGCCAGAGCACGAGACCCAAACTGACAAATGGAATAATCCATATCATACAACAATGTGCTCAGAGGAGAGTGGGCCAGGAAATTGGGGATGGAGGTCTCTTCTGGGATCTTCTCCAGAACTGTTAGCCAGGAATGGCCTGGGCATCAGTAGGTGTGTAGTAAGCAATTGCAATGTGCATTGCTTGTTTGTGTATTCTATTATTACTATTATTAACATTATTATTTTAATTTTACTTCAGTTATTATAGTTTTCATCTCAACCTATGAGTCTTCTTACCTTCACCCCTCCAATCCTCTCTGCCACCCCCTGGGGCAGGGAGGGTGAGCGAGCAGTTGAGTTGTGTTTGACTGCCAGCTGGGTTTAAACCATGACACAGATTTTCATACATTAAGCCAGGACACATCAGGAGAGCTAAGAAATATTACTTAAATATTCATATGCACTTTTTTTGATTGTTTTAAAACTCTTGGAAGGTGTTCAGCCTAAGTAGAAAAAGTAAGGTTTTGATCTCAACTGGGTAAACTGTAGTTTTGAATGTCTTAGAACTTATCTCTGTTGTTGGTTAGTTTTGCTTAGGTTTACTACTCTCAGCACCAGCACTGTGGGTTTATATAAAGAATCTGACCCCCAAAATCACTGTGCTTACTTTTTAATTCTCTGTATAAACTTGGGAGAATACTTCTATCTATAAGCAGATCTCACAAAACACCATAAAACTGTAATTTACAATGCATCATTACAGAATTGTATGTCATGTTGAAAAATTGCAAGCAACAGTTCCAAAACTGTGGCCTGTTTTGATTTAGCATCAAAGTAAATAATGCAGGCAACATTGTGTTGATATTATCGCTTGTTTCCAAATATAACTGAATAAAGCTGGTTTGTTCTTGGTTTGGGTTTTTTTTTCCCCATATGCTTGTTGATATTTGTACTGGCTAGTGCCTTCAGTGCAATACTCATATGACATACTCGTTCATTTTCATACAACTTGTCTTTTTAATTATAGTGAGAAGTTCTGCCTGCTGAACTAGCAGTTGTGATCTAAATTACATGGTGGCCTGGTTTCAGCTGGGATAGAGTTAATTTTCTTCCTAGTAGCTGGTGGTTTGGATTTAGAGTGAGAATCATGTTGGTAACACACTGATATTTTAGCTGTTGCTATGCAGAGTGTCCTAAGTTAGGAATGTTTCCGCTTTCCAAGCTTGGCCAGCAAACAGGTGCACAAGAAGCTGGGAGGGTGCAGGGCCAGGACAGGTGACCAGAACTACCCAAAGGGGTATTCCATACCACAGAACATCATGTTCAGTATAGAAACTTGGGGGAGTGGACTGGGGGAGGTGGATCACTGCTCGAGCATTGGTCAGCAAGTGATGAGAACTTGCATTGTGCACCATTTGGGGGTTTTTGGGTTTTATATTCTCTCTCTCATTCTTATTATATTCCTTTCATTGCAATTATTATTATTAATAGTAATAAAAATACCATAGTGTTATTATTGTAATTTATTTCATTTTAATTATTGAGAGGGACCTGGACAGGCTGGAGAGTGGGCCCATTCAAACCTCATAAAGTTCAACAAGGCCAAGTGCAAGGTCCTGCACATGGGTCAGAGCAATCCCAAGCATAAATACAGGCTGGGGGATGCATGGATTGAGAGCAGCCCTGTGGAGAAGGACTCGGGAGCAGTAGTGGATAGAAAACTGACTATGAGCCAGCAATGTGTGCTTGCAGCCCAGGAAACCAACTGTATCCTGGGCTGCATCAAGGGAAGTGTGGCCAGCAGGTTGAGGGAGGAGATTCTCTTCCTCTACTCCTCTTTTGTGATACCCCACCTGCAGTGTTGTGTCCAGCTCTGGGGACCTGCTCCAATGAGTCCAGAGGAGGACATGAAGATGATCAGGGGGCTGGAGCACCTCCTGTATGAGGACAGGCTGAGAGATTTGTTCAGCCTGGAGAAGGCTCCAGGGCAACTTTAGAGTGTCCTTCGAGTACTTGAAGGGGGCTACAGGAAAGATGGGGAGGGACTCTTTATCAGGGAGTTTAGGGATAGGACAAGGAGTAATGGTTTTAAACTGAAAGAGGGCAGATTCAGATATAGATAGATAAAGATTCTTTACTGTGAGTGTGGTGAGACACTGACACAGGTTGCCCAGAGAAGCTGTGGCTGCCCCCTCCCTGGCAGTGTCCAAGGCCAGGCTGGACGGGGCTTTGAGCAACCTGGGCTAGTGGAAGGTGTCCCTGCCCATGGCAGGGGGTTGGAACTAGATGGTCTTTAAGGTCCCTTTAAATTTGAGCCATTCTATGTTTCTATGATTAAACTGTTCTTATCTCAACCCAGAGATTTTACTTTTTTCCAGTTCTCCCCATTCTACTGGGCAGGGGTAGGAGTGAGAGAGCAGCTGTGTGGTGCTTAGCTGCTGGTTGGGATTAAGCCACACAGTGGTGAAGATGAAATAAAAATAAGTGTAGGTCTTGCAGAGGTGCAAACAGCAGTACAAGAAGATACAAGTTTCTCAATGATATATTAGTTTACCATTTTTCCTTTATGCCCAAAAATATTATGCAGCTTTTTCCATTTGTATTCAAGACCCTTGAAATTATTGTCAAGTTCAAATCAAACTCATGTTTAGAGGACTGGTCGTTGGTGATAATCCAAGATTTGCTGATTGCATCTGTATATCAGTTCTGTCTTAACCCATTCAGATTTTTGGTACAGGAAGTAATTTCTGTAATGTCTCTACATGGAAGTGGTGTTGTCATTTCATTACCTTGTTTTCTGAGCTGTGATGAAAAGCAAAAGTAGTTAAAAACTCCATTAATTTAGAACCTGGCAGTGTCCTCCTATTTTTACTTAACGAGATAATCCAATTCTAATTTTTCAGGAGTAAGCAAACTAAGAATCATTATAGTAACTTAAAATATCTTAATTCAACTTGTTGGTTGCCATATCAGTAATTCAACACACACATTTGTTACTGGTTTTAGTTTCTAGTGTCACTTGCTGAAAAACCTGTTGTCCCTGTCTAATCTGCTTTTCTCCTTATGTAAGTATAGTATTAATGTACAAATTAAAAAAATTCAAGGAATGCACTGCCTTGCTTACCTGTAAGTATTGAGTCCTTTTTAGCATTTGCATGTGAAATTCACATTCAACAAGCTTCAGTCTTTCTGTTTATATGAGCTATGTCCATTCTATAAAATTCACCTGGTAAGTTTTTTAAATAACCACCCTAGTTAAGGCCAACTTGGCCTTATGTTTGTTCTGTGTTATGGCAGTCTTATGCTGAACTCAGTTCTAGCTCTGTTTTATAGTGTTTCACAGTTGCAGTGCTTTCTTGGATTATCATCCCACATTTTGTATCCTGGCTTTTGGAAGAAGCTGTTTCTAGGAAATTTCAAAAGACCACAAGGATATGGCTGCAGCTGTAGGATTAGCTGAAATACTGTAGAACCATTTATGTAACAAAAAAGCCATTCTGTCTGTTAGTGGTGCTAAAAGCAAAGCTCTAATGTGAAAAGCTTTTGAATTATGGTTGTTTGAAGAATTTCTGTGTGTAGATGTGTTAGAACTGTACCCAAGGAAGCCATGAATCTGAAGAGGTGCATGTACACAAAGTATTAAGGCAAATCCAGAAACTGGAATTAATGATCAAAATATGATGACAGTGACAACACCACAGAAATTTAAACTTCCTTTGTGTAAGAAGTTATTTAAGCTGAGGTTAGAGCTCTGAGTAGGCAGAAGTGATGTTCAGATTAGCATGATCTTGGTTTGCACTGTTGTGCTCAGTTGCTGCTGAAACTTCTGTAGTAATTTCATAATATTTACATCTGTACAGCATTTCTCACTGGAACTCTCCAACCAATTGCAAATATTAGTTAGCCCCATACCTTTGTGAGTGAAAGAGGAGACCTTATCCCTGTTTCTCCACATGAAGAATATTTTAAAACAGGGAATGACTTACATTTTCTAGTGTCTTCCAATACTGAGTACATCAATAGAGAGCTATGCTTCCTAGGTTTGTGACCTCCACGTAGAAGCTTTCAGAAAGTTTGTTTTCGTCTGAGCTGTTAAGAATGTCAGTGGTAGATCCAGAATCAAAGCTACTGCTTTTAATTGATAGAGTTAACGTATGTCCCTGTCCCCACTGCTTCTGCTGGTGGAGCTTGTAGATCATTCAGGCTTTTGCAGCTGATAATCAGAAATAATTGCTAGTCTGGACATTTAACATCAACACTGATTTTTTGTTTGTTTTGTTTTGTTGTTGTTATTGGATACAACAGAGGTAAACATTTTGGATGATATTCAGAAGGTTTTTAGGCTCCCAAATCCTTTTTAAGTTCTTGCCTCTCAACTGAATTTAACTTCTCAAATCCAGACTTTAATGGTAAATTTTAATATTTTAGGGGACAGCAGCATAACTAAGGCATTGATTTTCTGGTTGTGAATTGCATTTATATTATATTTATTCAACCCATGTTAAAGAAAAATGCAGAAACCTGTTTGTTCTTTCAGGAGTGCATTAGAGCCTTAGGCCGAAATAAACCTCATACACCCTTCAGAGCAAGTAAACTTACTCAGGTGCTAAGAGATTCATTCATAGGAGAAAACTCCCGTACCTGTATGGTAAGTTGATTTGGTTAACTCTTGTAACAATTGCAAGAAGAAAAGACACTGGGAATTTAGGCTTTAATGCTTAAAACTAGTCACTTGCTACTGGGAATGTGTTGGACTTAAGTTTATCCACTACCTGACACTGTATGTGGAGTGAGAGTTTCAGCCAAGATATTCCAGTTAACTTGCTCCCATTTCAGTTTTTACTGGCCTTTCTTATTCTAGTTTTCTAGCTAAGCACTTAACTAGAAACACTCTAGCTTGAGAAGTTTGTTTGTTTGTTTTTTAATAATGTCTTAATTATATGAGAGTATTGTTTGTTGACTCAGAGTTTTGGAAACGGTGGTGTAGACTGGAAGTACAGTGATGAGTTACAATCTCAAAATCACAAAGACAAATTTAAAGTTGGTATCAAAGGCATCAGAATATTCTCTATGCTGTTGAGGAGGGAAGTAATTGGCATAGATAAGATGAATAGTTGTACAAATATGCATTTGCATCAGTCTGAAAAACAGAACTCTTCTGTCAAATGATGAAAAAGACAGATAAAAGCACTGACGTCCAGTCATTTTATTTGTGCATCATTAACATTGTATAGAAATGCAAACTCTCTGCAGTAGACACTGATTACTAGGCTTGTTGGTTACTTTTCACAAACTCCTTGGAATTATTTATTTTAGAGGCCAGAGAAGTCTGCAGACCACAGCATGAAAACCATGGTGTTAGGACAGCCTAGCCTTCCCTTTAGTTGTTAGGTATGGTTCTCATTTGAAAATGGTGGTGAAATATATTTTTATTTATATTTTTATTTTCTTTAGCTTTCTGATGAAGAGACAGGGTTGTTTTCTTTCCCACTGAGACATACCTGATCTAGTTGAAGATGTTCCTGCTCGCTGCAGGGGTGTTGGAGCAGGTGACCTTTAAAGGTCCCTTCCAACCCCAACTATTCTGTGATTCTGTATCTTCATAAATCTTATGCAGGATCAAAAACCTAAAGCGTACATCTCTAGCTAGTGTATTCACACTGCTGAAGGAGGTTTGAAAAGTTAACCTCTTGGAAATTACTCTCTGCACATAGAATATTGTGAATATTTCATGAAGTTCTCACCATTGCCTTACCTCCTTAAAGTGCTAACAAGCTGTCTTTGTTTTGGTGAAGCTTTTTTATTTAATTATTACTCTTCTCATAGAGGTGTAACATTTTTTACCATTTAAATGTGTGAGAATGCCATAATAAGTTAGTTATCAAGTATTGCTTACAGATAACTTACAATTGAGAAAAAAAAATCTTTACTTAGGAAAATAGTTAAACATATGCTTATCCTTAATATTATTAAGTAGTTTTGGACTGTGACCAAAATAGATCTCTCAAATCAGTATACAGTGTGCTTGAACAGAGAACAGCCTACAAAGATAGATAGATACATACATACATACATACATAAAAATCAGGTGATTGTTTGCAGGATATATTAGATTTACTTTCCACTGAGTTGCATATTTCCCTTTTCAAAGAGTCTTTATTTTCTATAGAGTTTTGCATTTACCAAGACAGTGAGATGGGGGAAACTGACTGAATTTCTATGAATTCTTTGTGTTCCAGGTGTGGTTAAAAAAATTAAATTGAAGCTTGCACTTGACATCTGTTTCCTTGAGATGTCATTGTATAAGGACAGCTGTACATAGTAGGCAGTTTTTGTGGAAGATCTCAAATGAAGCTGAAAATGAGATGAAAAAAAATTAAATTCATCTACCCTTTCATCTGTACAAAGTGATTTATTAATGTGTGGCTTGTATTTTTTTCCAGATCGCTACAATTTCTCCAGGGATGGCATCATGTGAAAACACTCTAAATACACTGAGATACGCAAATAGGTATGGAAAATGTTATTGCTTATAGCCATGCCAGCTGTTGATCACTGACATTTGCCAGTGTTGTTATGTATTGAGCTACTGGAATAATTTTATCATACTTGCATTTCTCAGTAAGATTAAAACCAAATTACTGATCCAGGCTCATATTTAATGTAAATTTTTTTACAACTGTTATAATAGAATCAATAGAAACTACATTTAAGCCATTATCCAGAGATGGATAATATGGATTGTGAGGAACGTGGGAGATGCCACATAGTTTTGCCCCTGCTCTGCAGGCACCATCTCTTGCATTTGGGGTAGTCAGTATTTGTGGTCATTCTCTGGGGTGTTAGCTGTAATACCTTTTTTTTTTTCCCCATCCCTTGGTGCAATTTCATGCAATTGCCAGTCTGCTTCATACATTTATATGAATTTTTTTTACTTCCCAACTTCAGGCAAATATCTGAGATCCCTAACTAAAGAGTCAGTTAATCCAACAGTGACTTTATGATCACTATAGAGAAATTAGCACCTCCAGAGGTTGATGCAGCACCTCTGTACTGCTCTCTGAAAGTGTTTGTCTCTCTTCAGTAAGTGTGAAAGGAGCCTTCTCCTTCTGCAGTTCTCCTTCGTTTAATGTCTTTGGAGACAGGATCATTGGGTCCTGCCTGTCCCTGCAGTCAGACCTGTGACTCAGAGAACCCTCCGTGCTTTGCTGCAGAGAACAAAGGAGGCAGACACGCCTCTGGGCCATCAGAAACCTTAGTTTTGCCAGAAGAGGCTACCATCTAGTGGTCTGCTTGCCCCAGTGAAAGATAGGGCAAAACTATGTCTGCTCCTGCTTGGCTGGGCACCCCAGCCAGTCACTAAGTGGGCACAGAAGACTGCAAGGAAGGCTTACAGCTCACTCCTCTTGATATCCAAATGTCTCTGTGTGGGGATCAAGGGAACTAGTAGCATATCTGCTGTCTTGGACCAGTCTGTGTGATTTCCTTCCTGGCAAGGAGGAGACATCTACTCCCCTGCTTACAGTAGCATAACAAATGATCTTGCACATTCATCAAGACTCATTATGTCTTTTGCCTCTTACAGACAATATCCATTGCTGAAGTTACTCCAGAAAAAGAGACTATGAAACTAAACACCTATTTCTAGTATACTAAATAGTTGCACTGAAACTGTTTCTTCCCCTTGGCGTTAAATTTGTATGTTGTTGATGGAATAAATGCCTGTCACTGTAAAGATGCTTTGTGTGTTTTCTGTAGTATTTTAGTTTCTTCTAGCAATAGATGATTTTCATAGTACAATTAGTTTTTAGGTGCTGGACACCATTTATGCAGTGTAGGACAGGGCAGAACAGAATTTTAACATTTTGTAGCTGTAGTGGTTTGATATTTTAAAATAAGACATTTAGTGGAATTTTGAATGTAGACCAAATTGAAATCTGGAATTACTTTTCTGAAAACACTGCTATTACAGACCCCTGCACATTAGAAGCACTGGTTGTATTCAGTCTTGTTAGCGATCTGTAACTGTTTGCAGAAGGTTTAAATATGTTAACACACTTGTGTTTTAATATAAAAATAATTTTAAACTGTTAAAGTAGTACACTAAACAAAGAGTTGTCATTTTAACTGTGTTTATGAAAACATTTTCTTTTAATTTGCTGCTGTATTTTGCTGCTGCAGAGTAAAGGAATTTGGAATTAGTCCTTCGGACATTCCCTTCTCACAGGGTAGTGGCAGTCGCTCAGATCTCTCTCCTTCCTATGAGTATGACGACTTTTCTCCTTCAATCACCAGGTCTACTTCATTCTATACATGGAATCTTTATTTTTAAGTTTTCTTTCTGGCTATGTAATTTTACAGACCAACCTTTCATTAGTCCCCTTGTCTTGAGTCACACATAGCTTGTTTTTATTTTGTTGGCAGGTGATGGTTCTGCATGATCTGCAATCATCTTCCCAGTATTCTGTTTACCCTCCTTAAATACCCACACTCTGTATCCAGGCTTGCTAAGTTTCCTTCATATATTTTATTTTAAAATGGTGATGTCACCTTTATACATTTAGTGGACCAGATCTGAAAAGTTGTGTTTAGGGTAATTTTAATATCTCTAATTAAAAAAGAAACCGTTTTCATCACTCTGAAGATGAATGAAAAACAGTTTCCATTGTAGTAAATAAGTGTTACTTTTTCCTTTAAAAAAATTAAGAATATGTTCCAAAACTTGCTATACTTGCAGACTTGGATGTGTCTGTTTCATAAACTTGCTTTTGAATGGGCTTTTTTTTTGACAGAATCATTATCAATCTTTTAAACTATTTGAATGCTGCAAGAGTCTAACATTTTAATATTTTCACTTTTAAAATTATCTTAATTAAAGGATCTATTAATTATCTGAGATACTTGTTTGCAAATTATTATTTTCTACAGAGTGGAGAATTTGCTTATAGCACCTAATGGGGTACCGATTGGCTAACTTCTTTAAAGCACAGTTGAGTGTACAGAAAAAGAAAGATGGTCACATTTAGGGTGCAGAGTGAACTTTTCTCTCTAATACTACTTATTGTTAAGGATATTGAGTGTTTGGAGATTTTTGCCCCCATAACTGTTAATTAGTAAGATTTCAATCAGAAAATGCCTCTTGCCAGAAGATGGACTGAGATCCACCTGCTAGTAGTTGAAATTCAATGGTCCATGCTTTTTAGGAGTTGGACTAACATCTTTTTGCCACTGAAAGTACATTAAATTTTTGAAGCTGACATTATCATCTTTATTAAATGAATTAATTGCATATAAATTAATGAAGATGGGTTTTTTTGGTTGTGACTCTTTTGCACAGGAGTTTACTAATTTACAAATGACTTTTTCTGCTTGTAGGGTGAAGGAACTGACGGTCGATCCTAGTGCTGCAGGAGATATCCGTCCCACTGTACACCATGCTTCCAATCAGATAGACGACCTGGAAACACAGTGGGGCGTGGGGAGCTCTCCTCAGAGAGATGATCTCAAACTGCTTTGTGAACAAAATGTGAGTGTTTTACAACGTTACATGGAAAAAGTTGATGATAAATACAGTGGCAGAACAAATCCAGAGTAATGTGTATTTATAGCCTATTAGCAAGATCATTAAGTAAACACAGCATGCCTCTTCACTTTTTCACTTTATGGTATTTTGTCCGTTTCCATTAAAAAAAACAAACAAACAACTAAAAACATTTCTTGAAGGGTTGAGAGGAGAATGTTTTTCTTGTCTTTATCTCCCTCACTGATTAGGGCTTTTAATATCTAGGCAGGGTCTGCTCTAAGCTCTGACATTCTTTAGTGTACATTTTTTTCCAGTATGCCTTTATATATATTTAGGCAGTTAGAAGTATCCTGGGATTCTCATCTGTTTTACTTAACACTCGTGGTTTTGAGCATTATTTTACTGCATGCAACACCTATTTCAAGGGAGTTGGCCTTTCTTTGCATTTAGATATATGACTACCCATCATTCCTCTTCCCAGCATCCTGATTTTCATGAGGTGGAATCCCAGTTCAGGAGAGCGCCACATCATGTTCCCAGCATGTCTCCCTGGGCTGGAGTGGGGAGCTGAGAGATATCTTCTAAAGGGCATTTTCCCCTCATTGCTTATTTTTAGCTATAGTCCTGGTTCCTCAAATTTACAACAGGGATTAAAACTGGATTTGTGAAAATGCTGATGAAAGACAGAAGAGAGGAATCCTTACTATCCTAACTTCTTTTTTGCAAGACTCTTTGTCTCCTTAGACACCTCTTCATGGTGGCTGCTGTATTTTTCATCTGAGTGACTCCAGTACTATTTCATAAGAACATGCTAGTGATTCCTAGAGCTTCCCACTGGACAGTTCTTCCAATCAGATATTCTTTTATATAATTTTTCTAATTGTTCATATAAAATTAAATTAAGCTTTACAGTATGTTTTTAAGAAGATTTCAAAGGCATTGTATAAGGAACTATACTGTCTTGCTAAATCATTAATTACAGCCTAACTAGTGCTTTTGATTGTAACTCTTCATTTCTAAAGAAGCCCTTTTTGCCCCAGTTTGTAAATCCATGCTGTGTGTTCTTCCAATGTATTAATTGCTATGTACATTTTAGATTTCTCACTTTACTTTTATTCCACTTTTTCCCAAAGGTTTAATTTCATTTTGATTTCATGAAATCTGTTGAATGTAACTGCTGTTGTCTTGTTTTGAAAATGATTGTCTGTCTGTTATGATACGCACAACAAAAAGCCCTGACAGAAAACCAGAGTTAGGCATTAAAACCTGCTGGAAATTAGCATTCTTCCCTTGTGACATCCTCTTCCCACTATTTTAACTTTTTTTTTTTTTTAATGTAGAATATTCCATTTTCCGGTATTCACTAGGATTAGTGGCTGGAAATTTTTAGTGAATATGAATTAAATTTAACTCTGAACTTTTTAAATTTATTGCCCTCTCCACTCATTTCTTGAGATTTTCTCGTTGGAAGTACTAAATTCTATTTTTGACAGGTTCTGCTTTATGCATATTTGTGTTCCTTGATGAGATGGATCACATTCAGTTTATTTTCTATAGCCACAGTTCTTTCTAGACTAACAAGTGTTAATTATTGTTTCTAGGAAGAGGAAGTTTCTCCGCAGTTGTTTACTTTCCATGAAGCTGTGTCACAAATGGTAGAAATGGAAGAGCAAGTAGTAGAAGGCCACAGGGCTGTCTTCCAGGTAAAAGATGGAGGTCTGGTTTGTTTTATCCCAATCTAGGAATTAAGGTTTTCCCACTGTAAGTGCATGTTGAAGAGGCAGGATATCATCTGGTCATTCTGCTGCTGTCGGGAGATTTCTAAATTGTTTTATTATGCGAAGCCTACTGTAGCAAACAAATAGGGACAGAGCCCATAATGATTAATCTTTGTCCCCATGATGAAAGAGAAGCATATTGTGATATCATCCCAGGAATTTAGTAAAATTTTCCTTCTCAACAAACATTACTAAATAGACTGTGTTCATTGTAAGAAGAGTAGTTGTTCTCTTTTTACTATTCTTACTGTATTTTCTGTTGTATTCCTTTTCCAGCATTAATGGTTTTTTTCCTAGTTGTAGGGAGTTTGTTCAGATGGGTCTTGAAATTTTCAATTTCACTGTCTAACCTATGTCAACATACCTATGCCAAAGCTGGCAATTAATAGTAATGTCTTTATCAGCACCATTTCTGTTTGGTCTCGTCCCTCTAAGGTACTGCAGTACTCCCTCCAAGTATCTCATTGGCATACCCTTTTGTGACGTCTGCCTCTGAGATACCAAGATCTAGAATAGACACACACATTTCTAACTGCCTGTTTACTTCCTTTTTACAGATACATAAAGGTTTTCAATAGCTATTAGTCAGGGTCTGTGAAAGCTATTAGTGTAATGCTGGTCAGTGCCATGGAGCCTTTTACATTCATGAAATAAATTGTAGTAATGAGTTACTAGTTTTCAGATGGAAATGTGAGTTGCTTCTGTTCATAACCTCCAGGGAGGCTGTCTGTTTGGCACATTTGCTGCAAGAGAACAGCAGAGCATTAAACCTTTAGGGAGTACACACATTTCCTCAATTTAGGTATCTTAGTGGAACACTGATGTGTGTTTGTAATACAGTAGGATGCTAAACTACACGTTTTACAACAGATGTATAGAGATTCAGTTCTTATGAAAAACATTAGCCCTGAAGTAAAACATGCAGAAGTGTAGTCATACGCCATAGCTGCGTCCTAATGCTTGCAACTTCTGGAGGGACAAGCTGCATTAGTTTAAGCTGTTACTGCCTCTGTGTGTCTGTCCTTCTGCTGGAGATTACTCTTCCACCCAGCAGTCACTGGAAGGAAATGTGGCTGAGTCTCAGCTCCCTTTGTTTGCAGCACAGCTTGTTAGTTCATGTTGTGGGTGGAGGTGGGCTGCACCAATACAAAGCCTACCAACTGTACCAGGCAGAAGTTGTCTTCTATCAGCTCTCTCCTGGAAGCTGCTAATACAAAACATCCTTTCCAAACAAAAATGTATGCAATAGATCAAGGGAATGAATCATGCTATAGAGGATTCGTCTTCCTTTGTGTCTTGATGTACAAGTTTATATTAGCTGAGATGAACCCTATCGCAGTGTGAGCTCCATCTGTCCTGACCAAATCCCCCGTACATGGGTTTGAACTATACTTTCAATATTACTTGGGCTACTGAGCACAGAGGGAAAGACTTACTTTTAGTACTTCAAGCCCAGCATGCCTAGAACTGTCAGCTGCTTTCTTTTTCTAAATCAAAGCATTTCCAATGGGATCAGTTCTCCTGATCACAGCTTTGCATGGTTCTGTCAGCTTTAAGCTTTGGTTGCATTCTTTTTTGCCGCAAGATTTTTTTTCCTCTTTTCTTTTTTGGTAATTGGAGTGCAAGCATGCCCAAGAGGCTGCTGTAACCAACCTTTACTCTTACCTATCTGAGGAGTTAGCTCATGCAATAGTGAGCTTAAAATAGATCTTCTTTTACACAGCTTCTCTCAAAACTGGTTTTCATTATGGACAGAATTATCTTGGCTCCTTGACTGTACTAAAGACGCTATGATTATAGTCAGTGGTAACCAGCCCATACTTAAATTGAAGCCTAACTTCAAAGTTTGATACTCACCTAAGGGGACATAACTATGAGATAAAGTTCTGTTCTCTGAGTTTTGTGGCTTTGCAACCACCTAATGTTCTGAACTTGAAGAGAACTGGGGTAGCTGGAGTTTACCTGTTGCTGGTATGACCACTGGAATTAAGAAACAATGTATACAACATACAATTTTGCCGACACAGGAATAAGGTTTAATCTTAGGATTGCAATGTTATATTGAGATGATGAGACAGTAGAAGTGTGGTCATCTTGAGAAAATGTCGGATTCAGCTCTTTGTCTTGAAACTTTGCTAATGTATTTATTTGGGGTTTTTAAACTTTTACCTAGGAAACTATTAGATGGCTGGAAGATGAGAAAGCTCTTATTGAGATGACAGAAGAAGTAGACTATGATGTGGATTCTTACGCTACCCAACTTGAAGCAATTCTAGAGCAAAAACTTGACATTCTGACAGAACTCAGAGGTAGATTGATTTTAATCACTTCTGTACGTATTATTAGCAGTGTGTTTTCATGTGTCATGGAGACTTGCAGTAATAATGAGGAAAAAAAAAGTGTGGTTATGTTCTTTCTTAAGAGTGGCATTGAGCTACAAGTAGCTTGATTGGTAGCTTACTTTTTTCTTCAGCAGCCTTTCTGTCTGAATTTTGTCAGCCTTTCTTTGTTGAAAAACAAACTACAGATCATTCTTAGTGACCAAATTTGACGACTCCTCTTCTAAAATCAGCTTGTCAGCTTGGTACCACATGGAGATGAATTTTTCATTTTAGTTTCTAGCACTATTCGGACTTCAGGAGACATGCTATACTGGTAAAAATTCAAGGGTGGAGTTGGGGGCTGAGGGGTGGGGTGTTTTCCATCTGTGTTGGAAGATTCTTAAGATAAAATCTTAGTTTTATTGTCTGTGTATCTGCTGTAAGTTAGAAGAATTCATGAAGTAAACCAGACGTGGCTTGCTTGCCTTGCACCAGTATACTTTAACAAAGAATTGAAGGTACATTCCTTTACTTTTTATGAATGATGGCTTCCTCTTCAGAATACAGTTTGAGACACCAGCAGTGAAAAAAGACATTTTACGTGAAACTTGGCTCTTTGAAAACTTACTAGATACTGCCTTTGAAACAAGCTACTGGAGGTAAAGGCTATTTAAGAGATGCTTGCATCTTTACAGGCAGCTTGACACATATATAGTTTTACAGGAGGAAGAACTGTTAAGTCAAAAATTCTTTCTCCCAGCATCTTCTGTGTTCTGCTCATGGCATGTAACGGTCACTGAATATTTCAGCTTTTATTCCAGTCACTCTGGGAGTGACATCTTCATGCTGCCATTTTGGTTTATTTCTTCCCATTCTTGGGCATACTACTGGGGAATGGAGAGGGACAGGAATAGAAAAATGAAAGGATGCCCACACTTCCTTTCTCAGGCTTCTCCCATTCTTGGTATAGTTATGATAAAACCAAATGAATGATGCATTTATCTATTTATGTTGAGTAACTAACAAAATTTAATCACAAATGCTTTTCACATTCATAGAGAAACAGGGGGGAGTAGAATTTACTCTACAGGTTTTAAAATGTACAGAAGTGACTGATTGTACACTCAATACAATTCTTAGAGGCATATAAAATTGTTTGGAAGGCAATGGAAAGGAAAAGGATATATGTGGTGTGTATCTGCCAATACTCTTTAAGTTAGAAGCAGAATTGAAGTGTGAACAGGTTACATGCTGGGAATGCAATTGCGCAGTTTCCAAACCTACCCTGCCTAGAGACAGGGGCAGCATCTGAGAAGGGACTAAGTTGCTAAGCAACTTGTTTGTATGGTGAGTATTGAATTTATGCTTATTTCTATCCTCTTGTGGTTTCTAGTGTCAGCTATTTTTGTTCATTGTGCATTAGGGCTGGGAAGTGGAGCATCAGGGCTTAGTTTCAAGATCTGTGTTGAGCACGGACGGACGTATCAGCACTCATTCTCTCTTTTTCATTAAAGATAAAGTGAAATCTTTCCGGGCAGCTCTACAAGAGGAGGAACAGGCCAGTAAACAGATCAACCCGAAAAGACCACGTGCCCTTTGAAATGGGCCTTTGCTGCTAAAAGAATCCACGAACCCATACTGCTGTAGCACACATTTGTTACAAAACCCAGTGGCCGTAAGAACTCAACTACTTGAAAGTGTAAAAATGTTAGAAATGTCTGTGGAAATGTCCTGTTTCTTATTCCTGAATGGCATTTTCAGTTTTGTGTGAAATGCTCCTATGTCTACAAAATGCTTCTAGACCAGACAGCACAACCATGCGGGTTTGGAAATAGTTGCCATGTTTTACATAATGAAGTAAAACTGTGGCCATTAAAAGGTCACAGTATATCCTTTTGTTCAGTTCTGTTCAGTTTTTATTACAAAGACCAGCTGTGCTGTTTTAAATTGTGTTTGCGTGCATGCACACCTCACTAGTGGTTGTACATAACTTCTCCTCTACCGACAGCTGTGCTTACCTCTTCCCATTCTGTGCCTTGATGAAGGCTACGTAACCCTAAACATCCTTTCTGAAGCACAGTGTTAATAAAACAACATTCCTTATTTGTCAAGATAAATTACTTTTAGTATGTGTACATTTTTAATGTGTTGAGACCTCATTTTTGGTGGCTAGTTTAATCTCACAAGGATGTGCCATATCATTGAGCAGGAACTGCAAGAGCTGTTAAGAGTGGACAAACAGCTGGACACTGCATCCTCCTTATCTAGATTTATTTGACTACCATAAGGAATGGTTATATAATTTTACCATTTTTCTCTGTAATTAAAAAGAAAAAAAAGAAAAAAAAAAAAGAAAAAAACAAAGAAAAAAACGAAAAAATACAAACTAGTTGATGTATAATAAAGGGTAATGTTGAAGTACTGAGGAGAATTGTATCTTAGGATAATGCAGATATACAGTATGTGGTATGGTGTGATAATGCTGTCAAAGTAAAGGTACGAACTGACCTCTGCATATGTATAGAATAACTGTAAAAGTTTGGGGATAAAACTAAATACTTAATGGCCTTTCATATACTGTTAAAATTTGGCTTTTGATGCATGACACACTTACATGTACATTAACAGTAGCTTGCAGGTAGTTTAAGTAGCTCTGTTGCTTTTAAAAAAAAGTAGCTAATACCTATTTTTCCCTTTGTACAATGCCAGCACCTGAGAAGTGGGTGAAATTGCATCATTTGAGGATTTTGCACAATATTTCTACCTAGCATTAATAGAAATCCCATAAATACCTGAATTTTCACAAATGGTGTCATGTGTATCAGCACTTTTTAGGTGGTGGCACTCAAGTTATTTTTGCAAGTTAATATCCAGAAAAGACTGACTTTTCATGTAAGAACTTGTTGTCAAATGAAGACTTGTAGACCTCTCTAGGAGTTCTCCCTGTTTCCAGGAGTTCCTATCAGAAGACTTTCCCTTGGAACTGTTCAAAAATTACTTTTAGAATACAAGCCTGTTTGTTTGTGCCAGGCCTGGAGGGAAATAAAGGGAAGGCAATGAAAAGAGAGTTAAATGAGCCCAGAATTCTTGTGGTGTTTAATGTTTGTTTCTCCCATAGGAAGGTAGGCTATGGGAAGCTGTTGTCGCATCATGGTTAAAAATCCTCCTGTGTGTAAACATGAAAACTGAAACAACAATGTAGATTTTACATAATGTGTTTAATAAATAAAGCTATTAAATGAATTACAGATGAGAAGTTGCATCTATGAAAGCTCTGTTGTGCTCTGGGAAGGGTTTCACTTTGTAAGCACACCAGCGTTACGCTTTTGAAAAGGTTTCTGTTTTCCGAATGAGTATTTACTTCTGTCATGTAGGTTCCCCAGAGCACTTGTCCTGACTTTAGTTTTGCAGCAGGTCTTTGTAAAGAAACATGACATCTTTCTGAGCCTTTGTTCCAGACTGTCATCCATCAGTTAAAAAGAAAAAATGAATGAAACAGAAGACAGCAGCATTTGTTAGCAGGTGGTAGTACAGGTTATTGTAGAATACCAGAGGATTTCTCTGAAGCTGCTCTAGAGAAATCTTTGTTTCTAAAAAGCCTCTGATGACTGAGACATCCTACCTGCAAAACAGTGGCCTCCCTACTCTTCCTACATAAAAGCCTAGAGCAACAACCAGGTTGTGGTTTACAGCGGGTGCCAAAGAGGACAGAGGCAGTAGTATTTCAGCAGCTTTTTACTAAGCCTTGTAAATGATGTGTCTGTCAGGTAGCAGATGCAAACTGGAATTGTCTACTGTGGGGAGACTGTTAAGAGAGTCTTTGTGGCAAAGCCCCCTGTAAAGGTCAGGTCTACAGAGAGTGAAGGAGTGAGAATCAAAATAAAACTGCTACAGCTGGTTACAGCACTGGAATTCCTGTAGCCCATTGTTGTGATGGACTGGAATAACTTGAACAGGACTCAAGACAAGCTTCTCCTGATTCCTGTCTGGTAAAACAAAAGCATTGAGGAAGTGTGACTGTGACACAGAACTCCAGCACCTGCTCCTTCTGTAATAGTCTGAGCATATCGCTGTGGCTACTTACCTCACTCATAAATTGGTTCTACATACAGTGAAACAGCACTGGAATTATTAAATTATAAAATAACTGAGCAACCCAGTTTCCCAAACAAGCTCTCAATGCCTGCAAATTCAAGTGCATATTTCTGTACATGCTTCTAAATCTATGACTTTTAGAAGACTTGATGCTGGATATATAGAAAATGAAGTTATAGAGGAGTTTTTTCTTTTTCTGCCATCATCTCCATTTACTGTGGTCTTACTGAAAGTAATATGCTATATATGGAAAAAATTACTTAGGGTAGTTAATAGAGAGTCATGCCTTCACCCTTGCATGATGCTACAGTTAGTTAATAGTTACCTGTTTTCCTGAATCAGAAGACAGACCAAAGTGGATTTTTCTTTTGACAGCTGCTATGCAGAGTTAATGCAAGCCTCCTTGGGAAAACTCTGCCTTGTCCTTAATAACAAACATACATAATCTAAACTATATTAAGACACTTCTGTCAGGACACAGGCATGCAGTGCTCTAAAACTCACTGAAAGCTTTGATCTATGCTCAGATTTGTTCTTGCCTTGAAGGGTGATGTTTTCTTGTAAAAACAGCTGCCTGAATTTACAGTTGACAGAAAAACCCCTTCTGTCTCTGCTTATGAGTGGCAGCCCTTTGGGAGTTTTCTGCTGGTTCCTACAGTGGTCTGATGACAGTAAATAGGGGTTAAAGGAAATTACACTGGTAGTTTCAGGTGCCTCAGTGGTTTTGTATGTTATACCAAGCCCTCAAGATAAGTGCTCTTGTTACTGAGAAACAGTTACTGGGATTTCTCCAAGAGCAGCAGATTATTAACAGACTTGGAATGTGGGTAGCTACCAGAGGACAAATGGAAGAGACAGACAATTCAAATCAAAAGCATTTAAATACTCTTTCATACAAACAAAAATCCCAGATAAATGGAATGACTACAACTTTTGTTGCCCAGACCAAATTTCTGGGTTGTACTGAATATATGTGTAAGAATATACTGAGGTGAAGTCCATGATCAGAGAACAATCATAGATTTCAATTATGACCGTATCAGTCCATGTTATTTGGTATATTTAAAAATACACTGAGATATGGAAGTCCAGCACTTCAGTTGTGAAAGAAGTTATCACTTAAAATACAGAGCAGCAGCTATCTGTGATAAAATTGCATATAAGGTTTCAGTAAGAACCAGAGTACGTATGCTGCATTCTGCTCATTGCTTTTGTGAGAACTTGTCCCATTGCAGCCACTCTGGCTTAGGTAAGACTTTGGTGACAAAATACAAAACACCTTTCATTCTTCTAGTGGAATCTATGAGAAATGGATGCCTTCTGAATTGAAGCCATGCAGCAGTCTGAAAAAGTGAAATATCTGTGTTACCATTTATACTTCAGCTTAAGGCATTTCTGAGACATGCTAGCTGGCAAAGAACACAGGAAAATAGCATGAAAGCAGCCACCGCTGTTCAACTGCCATAAAGAATTGTTACAGATCTTAAAGTAGAAGTTAGCAAATTTGCCATTTTAGAGGTGCAGGTGTATTTTCAGCACAGTTAGTTAATTGCATCCTACCAGGTTTACTGCATTTCTGTAAAGGGCAGTAACTCTATGAATTGTCACACTGAGAAACAGCTAGGAATTTTTACCTTAAACTGGGAGAGGATTCATGTTGTTCACTCAAATTAACTGACCAAGAGCAGAATATAGTAATTACTCCAATTTCCAAATCGTGCTATAGACTACAGTCTAATCCTCAAGACAAAGAAGGACTATGTAAATCTCCAGGGAAATTACAATTTGATTACTAAAGCCATTTTTAGAGGAGAGATAGAGGGGTCTAGTACACAAACAGCAGAAATGGGGATCTTTAGCTAGTTGTTTCTCAATACTGTAAGCAGCAGTTAAAATACAAAGTTTTAAGTGTTCATTCATGCTCAGGACTAGAAGCAAGGAGTGCCTGGTTTTGAGAGGAAAACAGTTAGTACTATTCCTGTGTAACCCAGTATTAATCTGTGCTGCACAGGGACAGATGCAGGTAGAATTTGAAAAAGCTTAAAAGGAAGATAAATAAAGAGGGAAAAAAAATACCTAATGAAATCATCTATATCCATTGAACGAGCTCGTTTTTCAGAGTAACCTGTATTTTTTAGGACTGTCTGTATTTTCTGTGCAATTTTGAAGTTTTCGGGTATTTCCTGTCAATAGAAAGTAAGATACAAATTAATTCTCTATTCATAGCATAGAGAAAGGTTCATTTAAATCATTTATTCTTTCACTGCTTTTAGAAGTTCTTGTTTGACATGAAGTTGTCTTTTTTCTTGCATGGATTATTGAATTCTTCTGTTATTGCATCTGAATCTTTGTACCTGAGCTCATTCACTGTAAATGAATCACAAGAGCATTGCTAAGAAGACATAAGTTTTCTTCCTAGATTGTCAGATTTACTAGTAAAAGTCCTTGGGACATGTACTGCCAATATAGTACTAACATACTCATCTTTCAGCTTTTTCACTGTCATTAAGTGACTCTTTTACAATTTTCTCTAAGAGGGAAGTTCCTTCCTCCCTCAAACTCTCTCAGAAAAACTTTTAACATGTTAAGCTTTTCTGTGTTGATTTTTTACTCTTACAAGAAAGTCAGTATGCAGGTCAATACAAAGAAACAGAATTTAATATATTAAAAAGGAACTTACTGTATTATGTAAGGAACAATGAATTCGGTAATTATGGTCCAGCAACTGCTCTACAGCACTTGACCTGAAAGAAATACAAGTTTAGAATGAAGACTGATCTTTCACTCATTTTTTTGGCTGAACTGCTTATTCACCTTCACTATAAGAAACTGTAATGACTACACGGAGCTGTTCTTTTTAAACAATTGCCTAGTTTTCTTCTAAAAGAAAAAACTTGTGACCTCAGCATAAATCTTCCATCGTGGTTTATCCCAGATTGTCCTGGCATGCATGTAACACTGCTATGCATTTGCACAAAAGAAATGGTTAACCCTCAAACTTTTGAGAAAATTAACCTTTAGCAGAAGTTACTTACTTAAATGCTGCAGAGAGTGTCTTGTTTTTCCTAACAAAGGCTATCCTTACCAGACCATCCCACTCCTGAAATGAAAAATTTGAGAATTTACAGAAAGGAACACACAGCCACTATTAACAAGAACAATCACTACTGACAATTTCACAATATTGAACACAAAGAAACAATCTGTCAGGAAAATACCTTTCTCAAGAATACAAAAACAGTCCTGTCTTGGACAAAGCAATACAAATGGAGGAGAAAATACCTCACCCACAAAACTTTTGAATTGTTCTTTTTCGTGTCTAGACGCTACTGGACAGATCTTGCGTGCTGAGAAGGCAGGCACTTGAAGAAAATCCAGCTAACCTTGGGCAAAGCTGAAAGGGTCTTGAAGATCAAAGTGGTTTAAAAACTAACTTTAAGAATACTATTATGTAACATCTGTCTTCTGAGATGATACATACTCATTTGAAAATAAGGCTTCTCATAGATACCCCTTTAATCATAACCCACAAAGTCATCAAGCCAGAACAGTCTCTGGGAGATATAAACCATGATGAAAGGGACATTATTACTAGCAACTCTCCCACTGAGATTGGAGATGGTACCTCTATCTCGTCACACATACTGCAAGCAAAGCTGCACCAACAGATGGTGGCATGTTCAGGTAACATCCTAATGCAAGGTGGATCAATAAAGGAATGAGTACTTTGGAATTACATAAATGCCAATGAGTAGCTGGTACTTATGAGTGAAAACAGCACACAGAACTGAGCAGTAAGTGAAAAGAAAAATTAAATTAGGCATTACTGCTAGTATGTTATTGTTATAAGTGTATACGATGCTAACCTGAAAGTTGATAGGTGGTGGTGGGTTCTTTGGCTCTATTCTGACAACACTGGATTCAACTTTGGGAGGAGGCCTGAAGTTGTTCTTTCCAACCTGTTAGTCAGAAGTCAGGCAGCTGTATGAGTAAGCAGCAAATCCTCACATTCCTAGAAACATTCTTCTATCTTTGATAGCTCTGTCAGCTAATGCAGAATAAGATACCTTCATCAGATGGTCGACTCGAGCTAGTAACTGAGTATTAATAGAGAGTCTGCAGTATAGTTTAGTTCCTGGTTTTGCAACCAGACGAAGTGCAAATTCCCTTTGAAACATAAGTATTGCACACCTGAGAAAAACAGAAATGAGAAAATGAATTCTAAGTAATCAATTTTTACATCAAAAGCCAACCAACACTCTTGGAAAACACAGGATTTGCCTCAATGCTCAGAAATTATGTCTGTCACAAACTCTGCCTTAACTAGCTCAGAGTGTGTTACAAAAAAAAACCAAAAAACAACACAAAACTTGGTTAAACCATCTAAATCTCCTTAAAGCTACAACAGAATTTGATTCTTTATACTGCTAACTGGATCAGGATCAAAGAGACAGAAGCTCATCTGAGTTATGTGCCTGACTAACAAATCATTTTGAGGAATTCTATGATGAGTCCTTCAAACTCTCTAGCTCCAAAAACTGACCCATAATGTCACTAACATTAGTACTTCAGTGAGAAAAATAAAGAACTGCTGACACACTGAACAACACGCAGAAGTACCTGGGCTGTTAGTATTTTTAGACCGGACAACAGGAAGTGCCTTGGATTTGATCCTACCAGTGCCACCATTCCTTTATCAGGTGGGAAGGCATTTGAAATGCTATTATGCCCTACTTATGCCTGGAATAACCATTAAGTTATAAAACAAGTGTGAAGAGGTGCAACTCCTTTTTTCATCAGCCAGACATTCACTGATGCCAAGACTAAACTTTCTTCTCATGCTTAACAGACTGACATAAACTAATTTCAATGCTCTGGCAGGTTGTAGATTACAGACAAATTTTGTTCTGGCTCTGATCCATCAAACTGATATTTTAAGAACTAAAAAAAAAATGGTTTGGGCTATTTTTAAAACATTTTTTTTTCTATCAGGTCATACAGAGCTCTGTTCTTCCACGTACCTGAAAAAAGGTCTATGAAGCAACAACTTGAAAACAAAAGGTGAAGAAATCTGAGGAAAAGAGTACTAGTGTTAGTACAATTTCTGGGCAATTATAATTTAAAAAGAAAGAGGGTTTTGCCATGCTGTTTAGCCCATACCTGGTAAGGCAAGTTAGCCACACATGCATCAAAAAATGGTAAGTCTGTCTTCAGGATATCTCCAACCTTGATTTCCAGTTTGTTTGCCAGACACCTGGGGGAAAATACACTGTGGTTATCCTCAGAGAAGCATGTTGCCCAAGCTTTTGCCAAAGCAGCTCTGCTTCTTTAAGCACTCGCAATTTCTGGAGTTGATACTCACGTGCCCTGGACTCTCTTCTGAAGCTCACCAACAAGTCTAGGGTCAATTTCACAAGCAATAACCTGAAAACAAAGTATGTATTTGCAATTTTGTACAACTTCTCCTAACTGGGATTATAATTTCAATTATCAAAAAACCTCCATCTCTATTGCTACAGATTTAAATAACTCTTAAAAATTCCCTAGTAAACTATGCACGTTCCTTCCTCCAACAAAACATGCAAGCCTTACCATATAAAGGGATAACAGCAATATAGCTTGACAAAACCACACAAGATTTACATGAACAGCTAAAAACTCATTGGAATTATGCAAACGTTAAGAAAAACATCCACAGAGTAATTCTGCTTACTGGAATCAAGCAGATTAAGCTCCTTCTGTTAGGCTTAGTCTAAGACACAATGTGGTTAGAGCTTGGGAAGCTGCATGGAAATGCGCACTTACTTTTTTGACTTTCTCTAACATCTTTACTGTCAGGTTACCAGTTCCCGGGCCTACTTCCAGAATGACATCTGTGCGTCGCAGGGCAGCCTAAGAACAAATAGGTTATATTTCTAGAATGACTTTTAAATTAATTTGAATTTTTATTAAATTAATTAATTTGAAAGAAAAACGTATGTGCAGCTCAGTACATCGCTGAGATCAGCTAGCAGAGGCATGTGTCTGCCGCTTAGAAAGGGATGAGAGGAAAATGCTGAGAACAGGAATGTCTTAAAGCTACTTTACGAAAGATATTTGGCCAAGTATGGAAAAATAAGCAAGCGGCCATATTCTTGAAAAATCAATCAACATCAAGGCAATGAGTGCTGTACAGAAAGAAGGAAGGTCCCTCCTCAACCAGAGAAAGGCCACAGTCAGGAGAGAGGGCCGTGCAGGGGAAACGCCTTCCCAGAGAACTTTCAGCCAGCTCTGCCCGGTGCAGCGGGGCCGATGCTGCGGCGCTGGGCCCTGCCGCCGCTCCCGCTCAGCCGCCGCCTCCCCAGCGGCGCTCCCCGCTCTGCCAGCCACCTTCTCCACGATGCTGTTGACGACGAGCGGGTTCTTCAAGATGTGCTGGCCGGCCCCGGTGTTGAAGAGGATGCCTAGGGCAGAGAGCGCGGCGTTACTCTAGCGACGAGC